AAGCGACTGCTGAGTGCGGGAGAGGGGAGGGAGATCTGCAAGGCCAATAAAAACCGGCAATAAAAAGTGCCCCTTAGGAGGCGATCCCTCTCCCCTACCGCCCACCCCTCCCCCGCCCCAATTCTCTCTCGCTCACCTACAAAACCCCGGGATTAACTCTAATCAAATATTTACATTTTAATTCGGACGGGGTGTATGCGTGGCATATACGCGCTGGGGGCGCACTAGACGCTGTTTTCTCTCCCCCTGCTACCTTCTCTCTTGTGCGCGACCCTTTACGATCCCGCGTCTCGTCGTTTAATTGCAAATTGCCTGGGCATCTAGTATACTGCACTAGTGTATCATGTATTCGACGGGTGAGGGGGAGAACCGGTTGATACGATCGAAATTACTGTTGAATGAGGAAGTTTATAAGTTGGTCATTTTGGCAGAGAAAAAACTTTTGTTTTTAGGAATTTTGGTTCCTTAGGTTTTAGGGATTGTTGACAGTAGAAAAAAAAATTATTGGTGCAATCCCGAGCCTGTAAGTGATGGTAGTAGGATTGAATCAAGTCGAGAATCTACTCATTTCAAGTCCATTTCATCGGGTGGATCGGGTATCTAAAGAAAAGGTCGTGTAGAGCTGGCGACTTGCTGCAAGTAGGAAGATGGCAGTGTCTATTCGCACGCTCCATGGTCAATTTTATTTTATTTTATTTGAGAAGTAAAAATTGAGGGTCCACGATCTCCCATATATCCACGGTAGAAATTACCTTGAATCCACGGGAAAACGTCCCGTATATCCACGGTCAAAGTTACCGTGGAGCGTGTGAACAGACACTGCCTAGGAAGATACTTGAATATGTCATCTTTCCTACTTGAATCAAGTATTTTTCCTATTCATATTAATTGTCTTTCTTATTTGAATCAAGTATCATCCCTATTCGAATCAATTGTCTTCCCTATTGAAGCTCAATTGATAAATCTATCTCTGAGTTATAAATATTTTTTAAAACGTCAAAAGTCCCCATTTTACCCTACCCTCTTCTAAAAAATGTATGTATTATTATTAGGAAATTGACGAAAAAATGAAGACAAGTAATTTCACCTCCAACATGAATCATTTCGTTACTCGACAAAACGTAAAATATTCTCCACGGAAACTATCTTTCATTAAATTATATTTCCTTTCCCGATTACGCTTCCGACAGGAAAATTCGCCGCGACAGAATCACCAACAAAAACAACGCATAACAGCATAATAATTAAAGCAATAAATAACAGAAAAATCTAGGCAAAGTTTTCAGTATTCTGTCGTCAGCTGACAGCTGTCACTGAAAAAAAAGACAAACGACGATGAAAAAAACATAATCTAACATATCTTCGAAATGCAATCGTGTGACGCCATTATATCCCACCTCGAGTCTGACGTACCCCAGTATGTCGCGCAGGTGGAACGAATCGTTGGGGTTCTTCGCTGACCAACGGCAGGTAGACCAGTTCACTTTACGAGGCGACGCACAAGCTGTCTCCAACCTGCTTTTCCCAGGGCATTCAGTTGTTTATACGTTTCTCAGCCTGTTGAACGACTTTTTTCTCGTGTCCTCTGAACCCCTTCGACCCCCGTTTACACGCCTCTAAAATATTATCCCATGGTGTAATGTCTATTTTATCATCTTCAAAAGAACGCAAATGGGGAAGAATTACCGGCGAATGCTCCAGACGTTGCAATTGCTCTATCAACATTTTTACACTCGAAAAAAAATTACTTCTGATCAGTAGAAAAAGTACCTCTACCTAACACCAAGGCGTTTCTGGGGGAAAGGCAAATTTTGTACTTCCTCGGAGTGGCAAAAGAACTGGATGCAAGTATTGCAGACAAATCATGATTCAAAAACTTATGAACCAAACATTTTTTCCACTATATCATGCACGGGAATTTCTGAATAGACGAGATAAAACTGTCTTGTTGTAATTAATGAGTTTTTTGTCAATTGTTCCATAAAAATTTGAAGTGTATTGTTAATAGTTCGAAGCTACCACAACATCTGTAGACAGTTCACATGGCCTCATGTTTATAACAAGAAATATGTATGCAAATTGAACTGTAATTGTTCAGAAATGCTTAAATAAATAAAAAGAACTGGAACCCCTGCACGGGGCTATGAGATCTCATTAGCTTCATTCAATCTACGATAATTCCTGAGATTTGGGAATATTTTTCTCATCCCGAGGGACTGTAAATCAAGAGGCAATTAGCGCACAGTCAGTTAAATCATCGCGCATGATTTACCCGGACCCGCGGGCCGCGAGGGGATCGCGTACAATGGCGAATGGGTCGAGCCAAAAATTTTAGCGAACAGCTTTAAGTGGTGCATAGTGCCGTGTTATTTTAACTTTTTAGCATGCTAAATATTTGGATGTTATCCAAGGTACCCTGCTAGAGTGTAGAGTGCCGTTTGGGCCGTTATTGAACATCAGAGAGTTGTCTCAAAATTTATGGGACAGTTATAGAATCTTATTATTTACTCGTCTAAATAATTCGCAACTCTAAAGATCTGGCGTTAATTTTTATTTTTTCGTCATTTACTGTTTATTGTCCAGATTATTGTACTGGACTCAACTGTATTTCGTTTGTTTAATTCAATGGTGTTGAATGCTGCAGTTCATGCCAGAAAGATATTTCATCCCAAATTTATGTCGGAATTAAATTTTTCTGTCTTTTTTAGTGTCATCTCATAGAACTATCAATTTCGTAATTTTATCACACAATTTTTGGAACATTAATATGTACGTTGAGAAAAAATGAGAAATCTTTTGTCGTGTTGAATTAATTAACTTGTGGTCAACAAGAATGTTTCCAATTTTCGAATTCTTCTCGAGATATTTCTGATGATCACGACAAAAATTTACTTTTTCTGAAAGATATTAAATTTCCTTCTATGAAGTTCATTAACTTCCCTGATCATCGTTCCATCTTTAACAATATAAAAAATCTAATTACGTTTGAACATTCAAATCGTATGTTCCCAGCCTTTAATTTAGTTTCTGTTTTGTTCTTCTCATTGCAAACTACTAGAACATTGTGTATGTCATATGTAAACACCCGGCTGAAGGCCCTCGGGCAGTCGCAAGCTTGCTTGCGACGTATTCTGTTAAAAATAAAAGAAACGGAAATAACAATGAATCATAATATTTGGGAATTGTTTTCCTCCTGTCTAGTGACACGAAAGACATTTGGAAATTTCGATTGCATTATTTAACCTCGATATCCCTCTTTTCAATTAATTTAACAGTCAGGAATATATTTACCAAAATTATATGAACCTGACGAGACTAGAAGAGTATTCACCAGCGGAAAATTCAGTTCAAGGGTTTTTTAAAGATGTGCGAGTCAAACATTCACATGTAGAAATGTTTTTCAAGTACGAAAAGTTTGCACATGAGTTAGCAATATTTTGACTCCTCTAGATGTGCCTAAATCGCAATTTCCGCTGGCAAATCTTTCGCTAGTGTCAGCTGCATCCAAATTTTCCTAATTCCTATCGATTTTCCTTAATTTTTCAACCGAATTGTGAATTTTTAATCACGAAATTTCACTGGAACTATCACTTGATAAAAATGAACAAGACAAAGAATTATAACAGTCCAATAAAAAAATACGAAGAGTTACAATTTTCCCTACATGCAGATGAAATTGAAACTGGCAGAATATTCGCGGATTAGAAGATGCAATTTCGGGAATTTTTAAGGGTGTAAGCATCGAACAATCATATGCACAACTGTTTTCCAGTGTGACCGCGACTTGATCCCTGACTTGAAAATATTTTCACACCCCTAGATTCGCCCAAATCGTATCTTTTGCTGGCGAGTCTTTGCCTAGCTTCAGCTTTACTCCACCCGTGAACTCAAATTCAAACGCCAATTTCCATCAAATTTTCCCCCCTTTCTCAGAACAATTTTCCTAGAAATTCTGCATGCAACTGGGTCAGCCATCAAAAACTAATCGCACAAGATGTCCACTGCGAAATCAATTCATCTCAAATCGATTCCTGGCACCGTCAGCACCAAACACTTCCACACATTGAAATTTTATCCACTCACCCCCCCATATCTGTTATTGTAGCAACTGGCGGGCTGGATAAGTGCCTAATTACGTGACCGATGCTATCGGCACACGTTACCGATATGGAACTTGAAACTAATTGGAATACCGATAGCTCAACTTCAAAGGGGTATTATGTAAATATCCGAGGTAACCCGAACTAATGCAAAAGGCATTTAGCGATAACATTGTGGATCCGAGTGTAAGACTGTTTCCTGATGCAATTCCCGGGAAACAAAATACACGAGTGCCTCATAAGCGGGTGGCCCGACTTTTATATCTGCCGATGATTTCAAGCCAACGATCCAAGTTTTTGGCAGTACGCCAGCATGAATTATTATCCTAGACTACGTAATCGCACGAACTACTCTCAGAAGCTTTTCGGATTAATTCACCTTCGATCCCTCCCGCCCTGCCCCCCTCGCGAAACAACAATACGAGAATAATGGAACAACGAGCGAAGAATGCGGAAAAATAACAAGATCATCTGATCAAGAGGTGTTTGAGCACGTGGCTCAAGAGGTAGAGGCGCCTGCGTGTTGACACCGGGACACGAAATAGAAATTTCTTGCCGTGTACGGCACAACTCCCGGTGTTTACGCGCACTCAGTCGTTCGGCAGACGAGCCGCACGTCGGAGTCGCATGCAATTCCCGATTTCCCACTCGAAATTTCAAAAATTTTACGATCTGGCGAATATCAACGTATGAATAGAGTGAAATGCTTCTTAAATAATGAATATCCCGGGACCAAACGATGCTATTTGGATAAATCAGGGCTCATTTTGAAGTCTCGAAAAAAACCTTCAAAATAAAAGAAAAATCTGGGAAATTCACTCAGCCGATCTCGAGTTATTGAAGATTAAAAACAGCTCACTTTACTTCGGTTTTTTCAGTTAAATGGAATTTCTAACTCACCTTGTGACACATACGTAGTCCCTTGCCCCACGATTTCCCCCTAATTCCACCGATCAAATGATCTCGAATTATCACAACAGACCAGAACTCCCCTCGTTCTAGTTCACCGTTAATCACCACAATTTAATTAAACTCGAATGAGTTTCACTTATTGCAATTTCATTGAAATATTTAATCGCAGCACGATCGATCACAGATAATGCCACAAACTGAATTTCCTCGACGCACGTTGCAACTCCTCCAAACGAATATCGTAATTAAGCAGTTACCCCCGATGATTCATAAGCCATCGATCATGGAGAACTGGCGATAATAGCGGACTCATCAGATCTGTCAAACGCCGCGTCAGTAGAACAGTTCCCTGTCCTCAGACCCACAGCCCGATCTCCATCCGCAGGTATTTGAGTAGAAACAGACAGTGATGATCAGCCAAGTCTCTCGCATTATCCCAACGACACTGTCAATCGTCAATTCCCCGGTAAAACACCTCCAACGAATCGATAATTCACCTCTCCAGTTTAATCAGCAATCAGTGTCAACACTTGAGTCATTAATCGACTATTAAATCCACTGGAAATATCGATGATGATGATTTACTGACGTTTAGAACGTGACGGTAGAAAACGCACGCGGTAACAACCGATAACACCGAGTGGGATTAAACACTAGCGTTCGGATCTGCTCGGTACGACGGCAGACGAGCGAGTGCCACTGGGGGAGATACCCCCACCCGTTCACCCGCAGTATCGCGGGGGGGGGNCCTGCCCCCCTCGCGAAACAACAATACGAGAATAATGGAACAACGAGCGAAGAATGCGGAAAAATAACAAGATCATCTGATCAAGAGGTGTTTGAGCACGTGGCTCAAGAGGTAGAGGCGCCTGCGTGTTGACACCGGGACACGAAATAGAAATTTCTTGCCGTGTACGGCACAACTCCCGGTGTTTACGCGCACTCAGTCGTTCGGCAGACGAGCCGCACGTCGGAGTCGCATGCAATTCCCGATTTCCCACTCGAAATTTCAAAAATTTTACGATCTGGCGAATATCAACGTATGAATAGAGTGAAATGCTTCTTAAATAATGAATATCCCGGGACCAAACGATGCTATTTGGATAAATCAGGGCTCATTTTGAAGTCTCGAAAAAAACCTTCAAAATAAAAGAAAAATCTGGGAAATTCACTCAGCCGATCTCGAGTTATTGAAGATTAAAAACAGCTCACTTTACTTCGGTTTTTTCAGTTAAATGGAATTTCTAACTCACCTTGTGACACATACGTAGTCCCTTGCCCCACGATTTCCCCCTAATTCCACCGATCAAATGATCTCGAATTATCACAACAGACCAGAACTCCCCTCGTTCTAGTTCACCGTTAATCACCACAATTTAATTAAACTCGAATGAGTTTCACTTATTGCAATTTCATTGAAATATTTAATCGCAGCACGATCGATCACAGATAATGCCACAAACTGAATTTCCTCGACGCACGTTGCAACTCCTCCAAACGAATATCGTAATTAAGCAGTTACCCCCGATGATTCATAAGCCATCGATCATGGAGAACTGGCGATAATAGCGGACTCATCAGATCTGTCAAACGCCGCGTCAGTAGAACAGTTCCCTGTCCTCAGACCCACAGCCCGATCTCCATCCGCAGGTATTTGAGTAGAAACAGACAGTGATGATCAGCCAAGTCTCTCGCATTATCCCAACGACACTGTCAATCGTCAATTCCCCGGTAAAACACCTCCAACGAATCGATAATTCACCTCTCCAGTTTAATCAGCAATCAGTGTCAACACTTGAGTCATTAATCGACTATTAAATCCACTGGAAATATCGATGATGATGATTTACTGACGTTTAGAACGTGACGGTAGAAAACGCACGCGGTAACAACCGATAACACCGAGTGGGATTAAACACTAGCGTTCGGATCTGCTCGGTACGACGGCAGACGAGCGAGTGCCACTGGGGGAGATACCCCCACCCGTTCACCCGCAGTATCGGGGGGGGGGGCGGAGGGGCTCGTGGAGGGGAGCAGATAGAAGTGAGAGCGACGGGGAGGACGAGAGAGTGCACGCAACGACAGCTGGGGGGGTCGTTCGGGGGGTGGGGCATAGCGGCGCGGTGTCTACCCCACCCGCGGGTTTTGTTCCCCTCTAGTCCTTTCGATCACTCCGCGTTTCATTGCCCCCCACCCCGCAAGGGGTTGGTTCTGTCTCGGTTTAGCACACTGCGGTTGTGGGGGTCTCCTGCGAGGAGTGCAACATTTTCGAGAGACAACGGTATGTCTGTTAATTGAACGACTCGCGTGCAGATCGGATTACTTATTTTCTTCTGGGGCGAGGGGTGCAATGATGTTGGATTTTTCCGAAAATTTTGGGGGCATCTCGGGGAATTCTTATCGAGTGATGGTTTCTTTGGAATTCCAAGTGATTTCGTCCATGGAAATTCACAATTCGATGAAATTGTTTCATCCTTTAATGGTCAATTAATTGTGATAACGAATTAAAAAATCATGTTTGCAGTTGAAATTCGAGTAATTTTGTGAAACATTTTCGGAAGGGAGACAATTGTATATCTGTTTATTGAACGACTCGCGCGCAGACCGGATTACTTATTTTCTTCTGGGGCAAGGGGTGCAATGATGTTGGATTTTTTGGGAGGCTTGCTTTGTTTTCTGGTGAGATTGTTCTTGATATTTGGCGTTTGGTGGGCAGGGAGGATTTATGAGGGGATATTAAAGCTTGCGGAGTATGTTTTAACCTCGATTTTCAACATTTTAGGGGGTTTGCAGTTTTTGTCGTGGGAGGGGGAATAAACTGAGAGAGAATTATTTTTGGTTCAAGCAGCACTGATAACTAATTTTCCGGAAATTTTCGGTCCACCTCGTGGAATTCTTATCGAGTGACGGTTTCTTTGGAATTTCAAGTGATGTCATCCATGAAAATGTTTTATCGTTTAATGTTCAATTAATTGTGATAACGAATTAAAAATGTTTGGAGTTGAAATTCGAGTAATTTAGAGGGTTCTGTAGTTTTAAACGTAGGAGATGTAATAAACTAAATGAAAATTATGTTTGTTTTAAGTAGCGCTGTTAAACCATTTTTCCAGAAATTTCTGTTACACTTCTTTGAAATGACAGCGTTATTAAAATTTCATGGAATTTAATCGATGGAAATTCACAATTTGATGAAAAAAATCGATGGAATTTGTAAATTCCAATTCAATTACTCCATAAAAATCAGTAAAAATCATAAAAATTCAACTCAATATGTCTTTAAATTTCCAATTAATTAAAAATCTAACGTAATTTGGTACTAAATATTAATTTCCACTTGAAAATTCAAACAAGTTCTTGAATTCTGGCTTTTTTAGTGCTCAAAAATTTGGAATTCCATCAAATTTTGAGTGAAATTTCATAACATTTGCTCGTTTTAAATACTCACATCTTTAACTAAAACTTCAATTAATTGCTGACAGTCTCCTTGGACATTCTATCATCCTGATGTAAATTACATCCCGATAATAGTATTAGAATTTCGGAATTACTGTCAAAATCGAGAACGAGAAACTTTTTATATTAAAGCAGATAGGCATTGCAAGCAACTGGGAGCCGTTGGTTTTTTTCCCCAGAAAAGTTTTATTCAATTTCCGTTCAACGGCTACCCTTCGATATTGAGGTAAGACAATGGTGGGTTAATGAAGTGAGGTAGGGGATGAGTCAGTTGATGTATCACCAGCGACTCCCGGATAATTGCTGGGGATGGTTTTCACCTGAGATACATTAGAGGAAAGTTTCAACTGAGATCGGCAGCCGTGTCAGCGAGAGGGTCTTTGGCTGGATTTTGGGATTGCTCAGCCGGTAATCCAATAAGTATGACATGGTCCTGAGTGGTCTTGGCGCGAGAATAGGTGATCTTGACATCTTGTCTTCGCGGAACTTCAAAGAAAAAATTATCATGTTTTGGTGAAAACTTGGACGTGAAACCTTAGAATGTTTGAACGTTGAGATATGATATTTGTTCCCTTCTCAACACATATGAATGACAGTATTTTATTTTACTTTTTATTTTTTATTTTTATTCATATTTCTTTCGTACTACCATTTTTTTTATAGCGTCCCTATTCGACGGCCGTGGGCCGTTTTACTTGTATCAACTGCTCCCCATTCGGGCTAGGACTACATGGGAAACCATGGAAAACCCGAGTCGTACACTCGACCGATTGCAGAGCCCTACTGTACCCATCCGTCACACTGACTGGATGGGCACCGTAGTTCTCCGCACTCGCGGGACGCGGCAGCAGTTCCAATTTCGCTATCTCCCTTAGATTTTGGAAATATTCCTCAAAAACTCCACTGGGAGATAAGTTGACTTAAATCGTTTTACCACTTCGCTACTGAATTTTTTACTTGCACTGAGGGTAAAAATTAGCTTTGCCGAAAAACTATATGTTCCACGTGAGAATATTTGATGGAGTGGAACAGATTTACTTGAGGGAAATCATCCAACTTGATGATCACGACAAAAATTAAATTTTTGTCGTGATCATCAGAAATACTCCTAGAAGAATTCGAACTCTTGGCAGACGAAAATATTAGTATAAGTAACGAAAATATTAGGGTCCTTTATTTTACTTCCCGTGGTTAGAACGGGATTTTCCGTCTCGGCGTAGGCGCAAAGTCAGAGTTCCCGCGAAGCGGAAGGGAAATGTAACTTTGCGCCCGCCGGGACGGAAAATCTATTTTACGACAATCATTTCATCTGAGAGAACTCCATAAGTTTATACCATAAAAAGAATATACTGACTAGGACAGCATATTTTTTCCCCCCAAAAAAATTGTCCCCTCGAAATTATTTAGTTCTGCCAATAACACAGTTTTCAGCAAGAAAATAGTATTTTCCTCTTGAAATTATCCTTTGGTCCATGGAAATTATAAGTGTTTATTGGACAAAGATGTACACTACTCAATAACATTCACTTGATAAAACGGGAGCCTCATATAATTCTCAGTAGTACGAATGTATTTCCCGAAAGACATTTAATGTTTCACGAGAATAATTACTATTACGATTTTTCATCCACAAGTAGATTGATTCAACACGACAAGAGATATCTTCAGGGAAGCAAATAATTTTTCGATAGAACAAATTTTTTCTCTCAGAACACAGGAGTCTTTTTTTTTGTAAAAAAAGGTAAAAATTCCCCCAAAATATTTTTTGTTGAATGACAATTTAAAACAGTTCACATGATATTCGCACGATATTTGCATCTGCACGTTCAATCAAAATGTTTTTCTCCCTGTGATTGCTGCGATTTTCTGGGTAATTTTTCCTTAAATTCATCCCGATGCAACCGATCCCCATCAGGTCCTCATTCAGAGAAATAAATGAAGCACTGCATCAACCTCAATGAAACTTCATCGTCAATCCCGGAATGACGAGATGGACTTCGATGTCCAAAAGTCAATATACTGTGTATGGAAGTGATCACGGGCCAAGTCACTTTGGAATTCGGTGCGCGGCTACCGCAGGAGCCCACCAGGGGCGGAGCGGACGTCAGGCAAATGAAAAGCATCCCTAATTTGAAACTGAGAGGCGAAAGGCAAACAAGTGCCAAACCCGGTTCCTCGGACGACCTTTTTTATACCCTCTCCTGGTCCATCTATCCCTCTT